TCTGGGTATATTCGGAAGATGCACTGGAGAATTTAAATAAACAGATAAGAAACACGGCAAAAATATCATGGTCAAATACTATGATTAATTAGATGTACTACCTTTTAGTAAGATCAGATCCAAAAGTATCAAGCATATCTTTTAGAGAACATAAGAGTTATCGAGGAAAGCCGTTACTAGATGAGGTTATTAAATTAATTGTAATATAAATGATAAAATAAATGTAATAAAATACCGTTTTTTTCCTCTATATATCAACATCATTTAAAAACCATTTTTATAAAAATATCAAGTAGATTAATGTATCAATATAACGTGCTTGTTTTTAAAATTTAAAAAAACTATAAAGTTTACGTATCCGAGTACACGTTCATATGACACTCAATCGTGTAGAAGAAAAAATACATACAAAAATTTTTCTAATTTTTTTTAATAAAAATGATATTAAAAAAAATAAAAAGCACATTAAAAAAACATTAACAAAATAATAATTTATTCTTTGATTGTCTTTTGAGTAATAGTAAGCTCACATTTTATCAAGTATGCTGTGAACATTTTTTTTTCTTCTGGGCTATTTTCGCTTTTTGGCTTGTGTAATGTAAGTTACCGTTAAGAATTAAGTATTTTTGTAGTAAATGTATAGAGTAAGAACGGGTAACCCTATTTTTTCAATCATTGATCGAAAAATTTAAATAAAACCGGAACGGATTAGAATATTTAAACAACCAGATGTAAGAGAATCTAAGTTCTAAGTCATTTTCCAGTCATTTTATTTTTACATAAGTTTAAAAGAGAGTCTTAAATATTTACTTTTCCCTTTGCTATCGTAAATTATTACGGGAACCAAAACTCGTTTAATAATTAATAAAAAATAATTAAAATTTAATAAAGTTTTTATAAAAAATAATTAGACTCTTATCTTGAAGAAAACTAAATTTTTATACCAATTACATAATTTTTTTTGTTTTATTATTAAAAACTAGCAGTAAGCAATCCATAATACGGGTTGTTAGTAAATTAAATTAAAAAAAAAAACTGCATATAGAAAAGCCTAGAAACTATTTTAAAATAGAAAAGCCTAGAAAATGACGTAAGTCGACTATTAACTACTATTAAATTAGCGTATTAATAATATCAGAATAAAATAAAACTAGTATTCATTTTTTCTAAAAAAAAACAATCATTTACATATTTACTTTAAATTAAATAAGTATCTATGCAAACTAAATAAAGTACCTATGTAAATGAAATGGTTGGATTTTCTAAATTGTTAGTTACGGTTTCTTCCTATACAAAATTATTTAACAACAATGACTAAATAACATTTATTAATTATTCACTTTAAGCATTATCAATTCTAATAGGTCGCCAGTGATGGATCCAAGATTTTTTAGTGTTGAAGATAGCTAACTTCCAGAAATGGAGCCAACTCCAAACATTTCTATATTTATACTTATGTCAAATAATGAGGCTTTGCAAAAAATGCGATGATATGAGGCTGGGAATGAAAAAGCCCTTTGACTTCATTACCCCCTCCCCCCATTCTGAGGGGCAACAAGTTCGTTTTACAAATCAGACCTATTTAAAAACAGCAGGCCAGGCAAATTGACTGTTTTTATGGATTTATAAACTAATATTCCAAAGAAATTTTACAAGAAAAACCCGCAATTTAGAATCTGTTGGAGCTGTTTCTTTTTACGCAAGAAATAGTTGACAACTATTTTGAAGATATCACAAACAATATAAATTGTCTGGTGTAACTTCTGGTTGTAATATTTGGAATTGCAATTAAAAGGATTTCTGTGATAATCAAAGCATCTAACCGGAGTACTTTAAAAAGGTGCAAAATGTGTTTTGAAACTCCCTGATAACAACAACAAAAATCCTTTATACAGTAAAAATGTAATGTGCTTATCTTTAATGCTGATGGATTTATATCTGCATTTGTGATATACAAAGCAAAACGAAACATTGAGCTGAGTGGGCTTTAGGTGGTCTTACCTAAAGAACATTTTCCTCCGTTACTCAAAAAGGTATATGAGAACGCAAATGTTTTCCAGGTTTGCACGCTATTGGTTGTTTTCAACTTATTGGGTTATTTACACTTAACAAAATTGATCAACAGGCATTAACCATCTCAGAAATGTTTAATCAACAAATGCCTTCGATGCCATTGTCAACATTAAGGCTTTCGACATTATCTTCTGAACCAGCTAAACCAGCCTTGAGGTTTAATAAGTAAAAGTACTACGTGGGAGAATGACAAACGAAAAGGAAAATGAGATAAAAAAAGTTTTTTTCAAGAGAAAAAAAAGAAAAAAATCTAGGCAATCAAGTATTTTTTTTGGAATTGTTATTAGGTGCTCCAAAAAGTCCTTTAAGCCTTATCACCACCGCAGAAGAGCATTTAACTAGGAAGCCTCCTTCCCTCCTCAATGTTGCTTATTGATCTAAAGCCGGCACCAAACCTCGGACCTCTTTGTTCTATGTCAGAACTCTAACCACTGCGCCACGGCTTCAATATTCTAAAAACTGCTGACCAATATATTACAAAACTTGGTATTGTAACTTTAGTATTGTAGATCATCTCAAAAGAAGAAGTTTAACAATTTAAATAGCTGAAAAATTTCAAAAATTTAAAACCCTCTGCTAACTCGTAATGCCATTGCCAAATCTTGCGAAAAAGATTTACTCAAAATAAAAAAACAATTTTATCACCTTCAGCCAGAAAAAGAAATGTTATTAAATGCAGAAAATGTAGAAAAGAATTACATTCAAACATGATGTTATGCGAGAATCTGAATTGCAACACCTGACTCTGCAACGAAACATGTTTGCTAAAAAAACTTGTAATGGGTTCAAAAATATTTTGTTGTAAAAATATAAAACTTAAACCTTTTATTATTTTTGTATGCTATGTAAAATACTTTTAGATATAAAAAAAGAAATTAAATTTATTAAATGTATATTTTATTGTATATGCCTTGTGGAGGCTACATAATTAAGGCCCGAAAAGACAAGTTCAGCTTCTTAAGTAGCGTCATTACCTGCTCTACAGACTAAGAGTAATGTGAGTTTGGGAAGAACACGATGCGCACGATATTAGAAGGCGCAATAGTGTTGTTAGTCGTGCCAACAAAGACTTGAAAAGTTAACTTGATATGAACTCCTTTTCAAGCAATTTTGTCGTTTTATTTTATTTAATATGTTTCAATAGAGTTCATTTGATGTGAAAAAAATATTGTGGTTTATTGCCATATAGAGGCCACATTACCAAGGTCCGCAAAGACTAGTTCAGCTCCGAAAGGATCGTCATAACTCATTCTACGGGCCGAGAGTAAGACGAGTTTGGGAAAAACGAAGAGATCTTAGAGTGAAAGACAGAAGTAGTTGTGTTAGAAATATAGCGTAGAGAAAGCGGACAATATTTGCACGCGATGTTAGAAGATGCAATACGTATTGTTAAACTAGTTCATCTAATTAATGTACGCCGTCAAAGACTTGATTGGAATTCACGTGATATGAACTTTTCATTAACTTTCTTTGTTGTCCTTAAGGCTTTGTGGTTTATCCTCCGCCAGCTAATTGCCTTGTGGAGGCCACATTAACTAGTCCGCAGAGACTTGTTTCGGCTCCTAAAAGGAACGTCATAACCCGCTCTACAGACCGCAAGTGGAGCTAAGTTTGGGAATAACGAAGATATGGTAGAGTGTAAGGCAGAAGTAGTCGTGTTGCAAAGATAGCATAGAAAAAGCGGACAAAATTGCATACGCTATTATAAGGTGCACTAGTGCTATTCGTCAAAGACTTGAAAAATTCACTTAATATGAACTCTTCCTCGCCTTTCTTTATAGTCATTAAAATGAATTTTTTTTAAATGTTTTTGTTATCTATAGTGATTACATTACTCACCTATTATATAGAAATTAGCTACTAAACTGCTTGCGGGTTCGTTTCCAAAAGTAATTGTTATTAATTTCATTGTTAACATCTGCTAATATTGCTTATGGGTTTGTTATTTTTGTTTTTTAATGTTATACTTTTTTCCTTTTTATAAATACAACTTTTCATTTTAAAAATTTGCTAAGATTGCTTGTAGGTTTGTAATTTTTTTTTTTTAAATCTTTTAAAAATACTTTTTTTTTTTTTTTAATTTTGTTTAATACTAATATAACGTAACTCTTTGAAAAGACTAAAAAGTAGAATACAAATTATAAATATAGATTATAGCAAAAACATTTGCTCAAAAATATAACCTTTTTTGTGCAAAAAAGTAGAAAATTAACTTTTTAATTTAAATTTAATAGTTCAGTAAACTAAAGAATGACAGGGTTGTTTCTATATAAACCTTGTGCAGAACTGTCAATCGTTTGTTTACTGAACTATTCAATTTAAATTAAAAATATTATTTTCTTCTTCTCAGTACAATAAAGATTATATTTTTGAGCAAATGTCTTTGCTATATTTTATCAAATTATAATGAACGTACTTATTTGCGTCAACTTATGAAGATTAGGCGTTTAAGTACAGTCTTAATGTCGTTTTCTTTTTGTTCACGAAACAAAAAGTTAAAAGCAGAGTTCCGAAGCATTTTAATGCGGTTGAACCATAGCGTTCTCTACTACAGGCCTATTCATCGCGCAACCGGATTTTTTTGTGGAGGCCTACTTTTTTACGGCAAAAAAGATAATAACTTCGTAATTTTAAAACTAAAAAGTAATTTTAATTCTCTGTATAGCCTAATAATTTTTTTTGATGAAAAAAGAAAATTATTATTAAGTAATAAACAATGTAAATAAAAGGCAAAGAAATTTTTTCTTATTTCAAATTTCACACATTTACATAATTATATTATTTCACCTTTAGTTTTGGCTTGAACAGCTAAATACAAAATTGATATTTTCTTATATTGAGTAGAAATGTTATTAAACCAAACAAAAAATATTAGATAAATTTTGATTAAAATTGTTAACAAAATCTGAAAAAAAAACCAACTAATATATGAAACTTTTATAAATCTTTTATAAAAAAGTATACTGAATATATTATAAACAGTAGACAACTAAGTAGACTTTTAAGAGATTTTTAATAATTTTAGTGCAGGTTCTTTGCCAGATTTGCCAGAGTAACAGTGGTACATAAATTTAAAAAAAAAATGTTGCTCAATATTACACAATGATGTTCTTCCATATCCAATAAATAATAGTCTGATATAATCATAAAAATACTACTTAAAGATTTTCGGCATACATGATCTTTAACTATTTGAAAAACTACAAAACAAAAAAATGTCCATTGGCATGAATTATCAGTTGGAAATTTTAATCCACCACGATCCAAAAATTTAGAAAACTGACCATATTTCTGAAAATAGAACGTTGTTTGATCTAAAAGTTCATAATCAGTTCGTTCTTTATCATTTAGTGTAACATAACCAGCAATGTGAATAAGTGACATTTTAACATCATCAGCAATAAAAGATTCTAGATCTTGCAAGTTATCAAGAATTTCGCAGCAGTCTTCAGACAATTTGTAATCACATAACGCACATTGATGACCAGACTTCACATTAAAATTGTCAATATCTACATTTAACTTCAAAAGTAAAGATGCATGTTTGATACGTAATTTTTCAATAACTTGTTGAACACTAAGAAAATATGTACCACCAGAACCTTGACGAAGTATACTATATTCTTTTTCCAGGTGATCTGAAGTAAATTGACCAAGAAGTACATAGTTTTGCGTAGTGTTAAGTAAATATCTACATAAATCTACTAGAAATTACAAGTTGCAGTATCTTTAGAAAGCTGTTTAATACACTTACCTTTGGGACCTGCCATTTTAAGTGCCATATCACCAAATTGTAGTATTAAATTTAAACGGTTGTCATCAGGATTGTTGATAACAGCCTGCAAAGGATCATTATGCCTTGTATCAGCACCAATGGCTTTGACATTTAAAATTTTCCACCAAATAATAACTTTATTAATAAATATAGCAATAAATATGTCAATAACAGCAATATGTATCATGTCAGGATGTTGCAAAAGAGCAGCATAAGTTTTTTCTGAAAATACTCTTAAAACTGTTAATACACACTGTCGTTCAACAGGTTTAGGAGAAATAGAAGTTTCATTCAGGTCAGATAATTTTAGAAAGCTTCTAATTCTGCATTGTAAAGCTGCTCCAAATGAGTCCATTTTGCAATGGATACATAATTTCTGCTTATCCGGAAGAGAGTTAAAAATTGAATAAATAAATTTGTTTTCATTAATATTATAAATTTTTGAAGTAATTCGAGTCAGTGTTGAAATAGATGGAAGTTGATAATCATTTCTTAAGCGATTATATAATGCCCTTGGATGTTAAGAAATATACAAAATCTCCAACTAATTTTGGTCCCATAACTGAAACATGTTGCATAATTACTTCTTTTTTATTATCAATTTTCAAAGAGCTTAAAAAACGAAGTATCTCATCAAACTTAGACCAGGAGTCAACAGTTAAGATTCGATTTACTGTTAAGCTAGAAATGTGACACTTAATCCCATAATGAAATGTTTCAAAGGTAAGATTTTCATAAATTTTAAGTACAAAAAAAGGTATTCCATTAAAAAATTGCAAAGATTGTATAACAACATAGCCATCAACCATAAACGATATAACTGGATATTGGTGATCACTGCTATCAATAAACTTGTTTTTAATGTCACAAAAAGTAGCTTTATCCCTTTTAAGAAATGTATCTAGCTCATCATCTATTGTACTTCTAATGCCACTTAAAGATCTTTTGGTAGATCTTTCAGTTGGATAACCAGTTGGAATTTGAGATAAAGGTATTCCTAGCCAAACAGAAGGAGGATTTTTTGGTCGACGTTTTCCTCCACGCACTATAACTGTATCAAAATGTGGAGGCCAGTGTAACTCACAGATAACAGTATACTTGGTAACAACCAAATTAGAGTTTGGAATAGCTTTTATCCATTTTTCACGCTCAACGTTATCACTTGGAAACCGATACACTAATATTTTATTAACTTCACTAGATATTTTGTTTTTTTCACTTTGATAGTTGGTGTGACAAGCATACACACAACATTTATTTGGCATGATGATTTAATCTAAATTTTATAAATATATTATTTGCTTTAAATCATATCTGCAAATCCATGTTTAAATTATATAAGTTTATTAACATTGTATTATATTCCATTATTTAAATATTTGTCATAAACGACATGACATTGTATCTGGTCTGAACGTGGAAAAATAATTTTTTCGCCGTAAAAAAGTAGGCCTCCACAAAAAAATCCGGTTGCTCGATGAATAGGCCTGTAGTAGAGAACGCTATGGGTTGAACATCTATCTGTTTTATACTTCCATGACTATGCAGATTAACGATCTTTAATATTGCTCAAAAATAAATATCGGTAGCTTCAATACAGTTTAAAATTTTTTCAAAAATTTTAAACTGTATTGAGGCTACCGCTAGACTCTAAATGATAAACAAAATAAATACATAAACACATGTAGTTCCAGCTTACATACAGTACTCGCTTCGTACTGTCTTCAGGTATTTCTTCATACTTGCCTTACTTTTTTCAGTTCATAAATTAGACATAAATACTGATCTACCTTGCTTATTAAAGTGCACCAACACACAGTGGGTTAGAATTTAGCAAAAAGGCCACAACGAAAGGTTGTATATTGAATCTATTGAACTCAATCATTTGCAAGTAACATTCATACGTAAATATTTATATTATATTCTTTATTTAAACATTTTTGAGGGTTTCGTCTAAATAATAAAAATCGTCTAAAATAATTTTTCATTAAAAAAAAACATTGCGGGATGGAATTTCAGTTTTTTTAGTCTCACGTTGAGATGAAATTTACTTGAAATCATGCATTATTGTTTTAACTAAAACATAAAAAATAGATTGCCTTAACCTCTCCCCCCATTCATCTCTCTTCCCAACCCACCCCGAACCCCCTTCCGATCAACCCCACCCCGTTTACAAAGGTTGACGATAAATACCAAAATTACAAAAAATTTAATAAAAAGTTTATTAAAATATATATATATATATATATATATATATATATATATATATATATATATATATATATATATATATATATATATATATATATATATTATTTTGTATAATTGTATTTATTTTGTATTATTTGTATAAAAATGTTTTGTACTTTGCTTCTTTTTTTTAAAGAATTAGTTAATAATAATAATTACATTTATTCTCTAACATTAAATAACAATTTAAACTTTATGTAGCTCTAATAATGTTCTAAAAAATTACTTTATTTTCGCTTTTTTAAATAAATTTTTTACAAGGCCTTCCTTAAAGTATATACTTTAAGTATACCATGGTTTTTTACTAAGTTCAGTTCAACTTCGAATTGAGAGTTTTTAAAACCAGCTCACGCAGATTACACGCAGATTACCTTCAAAATCTCTAAAATGAGTAAAATTTTCTATTTTTTAATTTATCATAAAGAAAATTGAACATTTTCTTTTTTTAAATTTTCTATACTTTTTTTTTTTTTTGCTGATTAGGATAGGTTCTTTATGAAATATCTATCATCAACAAACTTTGCTACATTACGAAAAAAAGCCCAAAAACAATGCTTTTACTTTTTCGATGCTTCTTTTACTTTCTGATATTATTAAATATTTATAGTTTTTGGCTAAAGCTTCAAGCAGAACAAAAATTTAAATCTACATATCTTCAATACATTACATCATACATAATATCTTCAATACATTACATCATAGGTAGTAAGTTTCAGTGTTCGATGTTTATTTGAATAAAATATTTTTATCTCACAAACATAGAATTTTCCAGAAATCATTTCACGCAAATATACAAACTTTTTAAATAATTACTAAATAAATGGTATAAATAAAATATTAAACTAATTCTGTAGTTTTTATTATAGTGTTGCAAGAAAATATTTTAATAAAGTTTCACCTATTTTAAAAAATGTACAAAAATGTAAAAGAATGTTTATTTAAATCTATTTAAATGATAATAGCAGCATTTTCTTTAACAGTTGAAATTTTCGCTCAGAGAATAAAAAACCTACCCTCAAGAAACTAACCTATTTAACCCAAAAAACTAATTATAAGCTAGGGGGCTATAACCCCGGGCCCCGCAAATATCAGGACCCCTAAAAACTTTAGAGAACCTTTTTTTTTTTAGTCATTTCTGATATATATATTAGGGTTTCTCATTTCCCGTAAATTTAGCATCCCGGGATTCCCGGTGTGTAACTTATTTATCCCGGGATTTCCCGGGATTTCCCGGCATAATTTTTAATATAATAACAAGCGGTTTCTGACACAAATTTATCTTAGCACGCTAATCTATATTACTATTTAAAATGAAATATTGTTTTAAAAAACATAAACAATCAATTGATTTGTCACTTAATCGTGAACGAATTTTTCCCATAAATAGACCCGCGGCAGAAAAAGCCCTTTCTGATTCAATTGATGTCGGCTTGATGGTCATTAATGTTGAGTATATTCTTTCTAAACTTTCGCTACGCTTTCCAGTTGCCTCAAAAAGTTTGATTTCTTTTGTGAGGTTTTTTAAATTGCTAATGTTTTCTAGAGCTGCTTTTTCTACTTGTTTGACATTACAAATAGTCGCATCCAATTTTTGTTCAAGCGTCAAAATACTTTTGCCTAATAAATATGGAGCAACAGGTTGAGGTATTGACGGGTCAGAAACCATGCTTTCATTATCACGACTCACTTCAACTATTTCATTATTTGATGAACTAAGGCTAGCATCCTCTATGTACAACCTGGTATAAATTTTTTTTGCTGTTGCTTTTAATGCATGTTTGGGCGGTAAGAGTAGTTTGGAGTTGATATTTGATTCCTGATTATAACTAATTGGGTTGTTTAAAAATTTTAGTAATCCAATTAAATTGGCATTTCTGCGTTCTTCAATTCTCTGCTGCACAGATTGAAGCAGTTTATTAGCTATAAAATTTTTTTTCTCCGTCAAATCGTCTAAAATGAATATCATTACACCTTCTGCGTCAAGTAGAGTAGCATTACTTCTACCAAGTCTTTCTATTCCAACTTTTATTGGTTGCAGAGAAAATGTTATGTTGTTCATAATCGCATATTCATCTTCGGAGATATTCAGAACTTCTTTTAAATCGATCATTGCTTTTAGTATACATGTTTTTACTTTAAGGAATCTTTCTAGCATTGCAACAAGACTATTCCACCTCGTTTTGACATCTAATATCAGCTTAAGCTCTTTATTAAACATAGATTTTACGTACATTTGTAAAACTTCATTTTTAAGAGGTGATTTACGGAACATTCGAACCACTTTTCGAATTGTTAAGGCTATATTTACGCTATTTTGTAAATCATCAATAAACGTAACGCCTGTTGAGCTGTGTGACTCATCATTACAGTCAAATACATCATCAAACTCGTCGTAATCACTCAAATTTTCATCGGAATCTTGAAACTGCGATTCAAATTCAATATATTTTGCTGAAGAGTCTGACTTTTTGTAAAGAACATCACATACTGCCAAATGAAGTCCGTGGGCATAACACAGCTGATGTTCAATACCACTTAGCCGTCCAAATTTTTTCATTACGGATGCTCCCTCAGTGACACTAGCTATGATGTGCTTTTTAATTGATAAACTGAAATCTGACAGTTTATTTTCAACTAGATCAACAATTTTTTCTGCAGGAAGTGATCCAGCTATCGGAGTCATTCCCAGGTTCCAAAACTTTGTTGATAAGTGTAAATTTACATTTAAATAACGTCGATTTTTTAAAGACGTATATTCGTCTAACGATAAAGAAAATCGCGACCCGCTAGAAATTTCTTTTGTTATCTCTAAAACCACAGTTTGTCTAGCTAATTCATATTGTTTTTTTATCATACCCATAACATGGGATGGATTTTTTGGTAATAACATGCCTTTTTCAGACAATGATTTTCTAATGAATTAACTTTTTGTTATGGCATTTATTGAGAAGCCATCTACCGTTGCTAGCTTTGACACAATTTCCTCGATAGTCTGCTGTTTAACAAACAATGTTATTTTCTTTTGAACAATTTTATTTTCCGAACCAGTATCTTCAAGTAGACGCTTCATATTTAGATCCAAATCTTTATGTGTGTTTTTTAAATGACGTAGGAGCCCACTGGTCGAAAATCCTTTGCACATTATCTTTACATTGCACTTTTTGCAAATTGCAGATTCGCCAGATTTTTCTTTACAAAAATACTGCCATGCTTTGGATCCATTTACAATTGACATAGTATAACTAAATTGAATCGCAGAACAACTAAAAGTAAAGTTACAAATATTTCTTACATATGTATGTTATCTTACGTATGACTTTTATGTGTTTGTTTGCCGTTTTTTAAATACAAAAATTATTAAATATTTCAATAATTTGATACAGAAAAAGTTTAACTTTTCAATAATTTAGAAGTTTAAAAATTAAACTTACTGTTTTCGTCGCAAGAAATCTTTTTTATTTTTTACTCATATTTTATAATAATGAGAAAAAAGAAAACATTGCATTGCAATGCATTTCTTTTTAGTTTAAGATAGTTTCAATAGCATTTCTTGTTGTGCTAGGTTTTAATATAAGGTATGAACACATAAAACACAACTAAATGCAATAATATTTTTCTTATTTTTGGTCGAATTAGTTCAAAGTTATCATATGTAAAATTATTTTAAAAAAAATTATATTCCGGGATATAAGAGTGATATCCCGGGAAATCCCGCTGCCACTTTTATCCCCGGGATCCCGGGAAAACGGGATCCCGGGATCCCGTTTGAGAAACCCTAATATATATTTCTGATTTTTATAGATAGCTTTTTTTACATAAAATTATTTCTTGGGATTTTTGAGCGAACTTTTTCAAAAATATACGATGTTTTTTTTACTTGCAAAGAAAAGTCACGGCAATAAACTCCCTATAATGTCATTAGCAAGCATAACTGTCAATATATTTGATGCTTTAAGTTAAAAAAGATAAAGCTCCTATTATGAATCCTGGTTGGACTCTTAATATTGTATTATTTAATAGACTTAATTATAAAGATAAATCTACTTTGAAAAAATAGTTTGTTTTACTTTGGTTAAGAAAAACTAGTGCCAAAAAAAAAAAAAAAATTTTTTTAGTCTTCTTGTTTAGTTACTTTATAAGTTTTATGAACAAATTTTCCGGATCGTCCCAGTAAACACACAAACAATTCTTTTGTAGCATTTAAACAAATAAATTAAAATGTATGTAGTTTAAAAAAATTGTTTGCTAAATTATGTAACAAGCTGCGCAAATGCTCTTAAGCTGACAATGGTTGCTATATAATGAACAAAATTTCAATACCAGTCTCCATTTTACCAGCATAAATAGGCATGGGTTTTTATAACTTTTGAGATACCATATTGATTCAATATTTTTTTGTTAAATTTAAACTTTTTACATTAGGAGATGACAAGCACATACACATATACCACAGACGGCAATGGTTTGTCGTATCTGCCTTATGACGTATACAATTGTGTTTCATCTCCTACAGACAACTTTTGTATTGATGCTGGTTTATTAGACTACGATCAACCAGTTGTTCAGAGAACACCAATTGATAACTGGGTTATAACAAACATTAACCCAAACTCGTACAACAACGGAATTAACTTTAGTGTTTTGACATATCCGTACTTACATGATTATGGCGAGCCAGGTTTCATTCGCAAAAGAAATGAACGAGAAAGAATGAGAGTTCGGAATGTTAATGAAGGTTATGCTCGTCTTAGAGACCATTTGCCCCTTGAACCAAACGAAAAAAGACTTTCAAAAGTTGAGACACTCCGAGGAGCCATTAACTACATTAAGCTTCTTCAAGATATTTTAGAAAAATCTTCAAAAGTTGATAAAAAAACAAACTTATACGAAAAGAAACTGAATGAAGAAACAAATGACATTGACGTAGAAAATTAACTTTCTTTAAAAAGAAAAATTTTTATAAATATTTTGTATAACTTGAACGAAATTTTGAATTTCGAATTTTGTAAACATAAAAAAAAATTAAAATAAAATCAAACTAGAGTTTGCAGCATTTTTTTTTTTACTTATTTTTTTTGCAGCATTTTTTTTTTTTTACTTTTTACATAAAATAAAACGAATTGTTTTTTAAATGAACTTTAGCCAAGTTTTAAATCCAAAATTTATATTAAATTTCATATCTAATACTTTCTTCATCTTCTTTATTTGATTTTTTACGCTCAACGTTTGTTTCTCTATCATTATAAGGATTCCCACTTAATATATATATATATATATATATATATATATATATATATATATATATATATATATATATATATATATATATATATATATATATATATATATATATATATATATATATATATATATATATATATGTATATATATATATATATATATATATATATACATATATATGTATGTATGTATGTATGTATGTATGTATGTATGTATGTATGTATGTATGTATGTATGTATGTATGTATGTATGTATGTATGTATGTATGTATGTATGTATGTATGTATGTATGTATGTATGTATGTATGTATGTAAGTATGTATGTATGTATGTATATATAAATAGATTAAGTATAACAAAAGAACAAAATAAAAGAAATCTGTTAACAAACTGTTAAAATGTTAATTTACTGTAACATTACATTCATTCAGTACATTCATTCATTAGAATCCGTTTAACCTAAAGTCGTGTCAATATTTAAAATTTAATGTCGAACAATGGAACATTTCACAAAAATCTTTACTTAGGATAAATACAGGTGCGCAAACCGTTTGGCATTACAATAAAAGATTTTTTAAGCAAATAAATACGTGCCTAATTTTTTGTAGTCGTTGTAGATGATAATTTTAATATATATGTATATATATATATATATATATATATATATATATATATATATATATATATATATATATATATATATATATATATATATATATATATATATATATATATATATATATATATATATATATATATACATATATATATATATATATATATATATATATATATATATATATATATATATATATATATATATATATATATATATATATATATATATATATATATATATATATATATATATATATATATATATATATATATATAAATCTTTAAAACAATACTTAATAAAAATAGCTGTTAATCATATATACATATGATTAACAACTATTTTTTTATTTCATATATATAAAAAAAAATTAAACAAAAAATATAGAGTAAAATGGGGTCAAAAAAAATAGTTAAGAGTTTTAATTTTTTTTTTTTTTTTTATTTGAGAGGATTTTGAGCTGAATTTAAATTCATAAAAATTAAAACAAAATAAAAACTAAAAAAAAGATTTTTAAGAAACTTAATTAATTTAAAAAAATAATAATTTTATTCTCCCTTCACATGTGCAGTAGAAACAAAATTTCTTGTTGGAAAGTATTGACAAAGTGCTTCCAAAAGGCAGATGAAAATTCTTTTATTAAAAAGCAAAATTTAATAAAATATCACAATTCATTTCAAATGTTAACTATGTCAATTTATTTAAGAATAAACAGGTCCAGGAGATGTATGATGAGTTGATTTATTATACCAGCGTAGCAAGTAATTTATTCATTCCAGTTGTTGATGTTTTACTTCTTAAAAATAAAGCAACTCCGTGGATAAGTAAAGAATTAAAAGATCTTATCAGAAAAAAAAATCTACGTTATACAAACTGTGCTGGTAAATGGAAAGATGTGAATTTGGGTGATGAGTACAAAAAATTATGTTGTCTTTTAAAATCAGAAGTGAAAAATTCCCGTCTCGCTTACGAAAGAGGTTTAGTATTGAAATCTAAGAAAAATCCCAAATTGCTCTATAAATACATTAACAATCAGTTAAATGTAAAAGAGTCAATAAAGACTTTGAGAAAAAGTGGCTGGATAGATCAATTGGTTAGAGCGTCAAACGAAACGTTTGAAAACGTTTCAAACGTTTCGTTGAACGCTCTAACCAACTTTAAAAAAAAAAAGGAAACCCGGACTGTTATACGATACGGGTTCAAATCCTGCCACCGCCAACTCAGCGCATGAGTAGTACTTCTGTACGCAGAAATGTTGTTCAATAACGGACGCTACTTTGGATTAACCTTAATGAATATTTGTGGCTGTTTCTATGCTAAGCTAATAATATCTTCGGATATAACATTGTATAGCAAAATAAAGCACGAAAATTCAAATAAATAAAAATAAAAAAATAAAAAAACTGATAGAGAGTTACCTCAAGATCAACTGGAAATTTCAAAGATTTTAAATAGATGCTTTCAGAATGTTTTTGTAATTGAAGACCAAGGGGAACAACCATTCTTTGAATCAAAAGTACAAAATTGCACTAGCAGATCTACTGATCTTTCTTCTGAAGAAATAACACGCAATAATGCTTAAAATTGACTTCAGAAACTTGATCAAAGCAAAGCATTTGGTCAAGACAATCTTTATCCGACACTGCTCAAAAATTCATCAAATGCTTTTGCTCTACCACTTACTTTAATTTTTAGGGAATCTTTAGTTACTAGTTAACTGCCGATCCAATTTAGATATGCAAACGTAATTCTACTTTACAAAAAAGGCGATAAAACAGAAGAAACAAATTACCTTCCAGTTTCCTTCACTTCAGTTGATAAAATACTTGAAGGAATAGTTCGAAATAAAATTGAAAATTTTTTTTATGATAACAACTTGTTGGCGCAGCAGCAACATGGGTTTGTGAAGAAAAAGTTGTGTACAACAAACTTATTAGAAACTATTAATTTTGTAATATTATGCATAGAAAACTATACACCAGTTGATGTTGTTTTGCTAGATTTTGCAAAAGTTTTGATACTGTTGAGCATAAAAGACTGATATTAAAGTTAAAAGCATTTAGAATCACTGGTCCTGTCTTAACCTGGTCCTGTCCTAACTTTAACCCAGGTCCTGTCCTAACCTAAACATCTGGTCCTGTCCTAACCTTAACCCTAACCCTAACCCTAACCCTAACAAATAGACGACAAAGAATAGTTAAAGGTAAAGTTGTATATAGCTGGGTCAACATTTTAAGTGGTGTGCCGCAAGGTTCCGTTATTGGCCAATTCCTTTTTGTTATTTATATTAACTTACCTATTATAATGAAAAACATCACAAAGTTAGATGCAGATACTAAGATTTTAGCAAGTGTGGATTCTGATCTGTGTGTGAGAGAAATTCAAAATGACTTAGATAAAGCCTTTAAATGGATATAGAATTGGCTATTAAGATTTAACGTAAATAAATGTGTTGTCATGCATTATGGTTCAAGTAACAAAAAGAGTTCCCTATTTATAAATGGTGTCTAACTGCTGGAATCAAAATCAGAAAGAGATCTTGGTATTACTTTCAATACAAATCAGATGCTTGGTCGTGTAAAAAAACTATTTGCGAGATTCGACTGTAAACTTTTATGTTTCTTTTGTCTCGTCCTCTTTTAGAGTTTGCTATTCCAGTTTGGTCTCCATATCTGAAAGGAAATTGTGATGCTATTGAAAGAGTGCAACGTTGAGCAACAAACTTTTACCTTCAATAAGTAACCTTACATATGAAGATTGACTTGTTTCTTTAGACTTAACCACTTTAAATGTAAGAAGAAAAAGAGGTTTCAATTATATTAATTTGTTCATGGCATTGAAAATATAAGTTTTTTATTTGTAAATAACAAATTTTGAGGTAACTGTTTTAAGTATTACAAAGACCTTCTAATACTTAAAACAGTTATCTGGCAAAGCCAGTGAGTGTGTTTTCATCCACACTTTTGTCAATATGTGGATGAATTGATTTCAACAATAACACCAGCACTAAAAAAAGTCAAGTGTTAAAAAATGCTAGTAGTGAATGGTACCAGTGTGAAAATTCAACAAGAAACACAAAGTTTTTGAGTTCCGATTTCAAAACTTAGTGTCTTTTAAAACCAACATTCAAAGTTAGTGTTGTTTAAAACTAATCTTAAAACTTGATGTCTTTTAAATGTCTTTTTTGTTGATGTTGAAACCATTTATTTGCTGCTCATCATTTAAGTTAAGCCTACGTTGTTTTTTTAGCTTGTTTAGCTGCTTTTGTGCTGTCAGAATCTTATAACATTACAAGGTGTGTTAAGGCAATTCCCTTTGAACTTTCGCACATCTACGTTTTTTTGCTTTTTTGTGTCAATCTGTAGAATGCGAGACACTTTTTGTAAAGCTGGTGCAAATAATTAAGTTAATTCCAATTGTCCTTTAGAAAAGTTAAATTATAAATTTTAAATTATAATGATGAAGCTTCAGCAAGTTGAATTTGAAATTTTGTAGCAGTTATAAGAGGTATGCTGATGCTACATGCTGTTGGTGAGAAATTTGAAATCAAAAGTTGAAACGGTGTTGTTACTGGTGCTGGTGATAGTGGCGGTATTAGCATAAGTTATGGTGATTGAGACAATAAAGGCTCAGGTTGAGATGTAGATGGTTCAAACGTATTTAAAGTTTATAATTTTGACTAGTTTTATTGATGTCGATTATTGATGCGGAAACAAACTTTTAAAATACAGTAACTATTTGCTTTTTTTGAAACTTTTTACCGGATATAGCAAACTTAATTCAGAAAAAAGAAATTCTAACCAGTATAGTAAGTTATACAGGTTTAATATTCACTGATTGTAAATTTCATTTCTGAGAGTCTATTTTTGAAAAAATGAAAAAAAGCCGCCTGAAATTTAACTGTTTATAAAAAAAACAACTATTTTTTATTGAAATTTTATCTTACTAAAAATTTCTTAACAACATGATTGATAATTATTTTCCAAACGTAATATGGAATTGTATCGTCGAAATATACAAGGAAAATGCACTAGGTCCATTTTTGGCATACCACTATTTAGTATTTTAAATTATCTATCGTTTGATATACCACACAAATTTAATAAATTAATTATTAATGAATAATTAAGATTTTTTATTTCAACTAGGAAAGGTTGCGTAAAATGAGCAGGTTCCTAAGATGCT